GCCGTGTCCTGGATGTGCCGTGTCCTGGATGTGTCCTGGACGTGGCGTGTCCTGGACGTGGCGTGTCCTGGACGTGGCGTGTCCTGGACGTGGCGTGTCCTGGATGTGGCGTGTCCTGGATGTGGCGTGTCCTGGATGTGCCATGTCCTGGATGTGCCGTGTCCTGGATGTGCCATGTCCTGGATGTGCCATGTCCTGGATGTGCCATGTCCTGGTTGGGTGGTGGGATGTGGCATGTCCTGGATGTGCCATGTCCTGGATGTGCCATGTCCTGGATGTGGCATGTCCTGGCTTGTTTGGCGGTGACAGGGGGACAATGTGCCATTGCCCAGGGTGGGTTAGGGCTGTGGGGGTCCCCAGGTGAGCACTCCCCTGGGGACAGGGGGCTGGGGGCTGTGTGTGTCCCCGAGGATGGTGGGCAGGGGGCCGTGTCCCCTGGTGACACTGGGCAGGGTCCGTGGCGTGTCCCCTGTGATGCAGGGACAGGCTCTGTATCACCAGGGACTGCTGTGCCCGGGGTGTGGGAAGGCCATGGGATGAATGTCCATGGGAATATTGGGGTCTGGGGTCGTGCAGGGTCGTGTGCCCAGGGCAAGGGTCCCCAAGGGACAGGGGGAGGCAGTTTGTGGGGGTTGTTGTAATGACCATCCTTGTTCTTGCCCCGTCTTTCTCTTGCCGTGGCAGCACTTGGATGTTCCAGCACTCAGATTTGTAAGTCCTTCCTCACTTCCACATCGAGAGCACAGCCTGGTGTGCTTGGCCTTTGCTTTGGGAGCAAGTGTCCAGCTCACACCCTCCAAAAAGTGTGTGCATGTGGATAGACTGCAAAAATCAGCCTGTGTGCTGGGCTGGGCATTCCGAGCTCCCAGGAAAGGGTATCCCAAAGGTGCCCTGTTCCATGGAGAGCTGCAGGATGAGGGTGCTGAAGGCAGGAGCAGCACGAGCTCCTTGTGTTTCCTCAGTGTTGGGCTTCTCCGTGTTTGAAAAGGCTCAAGACACACTTTGGAAAAACCCCTGTGTGATGCTGTTATGGGGGTTTTTCTGCTGAAATATTCCCCTTGGCCCTCCCTTGGCAGAACCCTGTTCTGTGTTTGCAGGGTCTCAGCTCTTGGCAGCAATGGCAAAGCCTCAGAGCAAAGATTCCGGCCTGAAGGAGAAGTTCAGGAACCTCCTGGGGCTGGGAACATCCCGGGGAAGTTCCAAATCGTCGGAGGGCAAGCAGACAGAGTTTATCATCACTGCAGAAATACTCAAGGTGTGAGAACTGAGTGAAGGGCTGGGGCAGTGCCTGGGGTAGCTCAGCTGAGGGGATTGGGATGGCTTGCTCCTTTCCTGGGTGTTTTGGCATTCGGTTCCTCTCCATAATTCCCTCTCCTGATTTCTCAACTCATTCTTCAGTGAACTGAGAGCTCAGCTACTTTGCAGCTCCAGCATTTGGATTATTCACTCTTTGAATACTCCAGAGATACCTGTTATGTTGGGTTAGAGGGTATTTCCCTGTGCCCTCTGTTTTTACAGTCTGAGCTCGATGAAGTTTCTGCGGTGGCAGTTCCCACAAGCTGGGAGCTGTTTCTGTTTTATGAAAGCCTTATGGTTCTGTGGAAATGAAAAATAAAATAATTGATTCCAGTAATTGGTACCACAAGTCTGTAAGCAGAATAGTTGGCACACAATGAGGAAAATTCAAAAAAAAAAAGAGAGAAGGAGACCAGAATTCCTTCTCCCCTTGGAGATAAATGTTTCTGGTAAGATAAACTGTTAGCTTATTTCTCCATTTCTTTCCAGGAACTGAGCATAGAGTGTGGATTGAGTAACAGGATACGAGCCATCAGTCAAATCTGTGAAGTGGCAAAAACCAAAAAAATTGAAGAGGTGAGTTCCAAAGTGTTCAGTGAGTATTGGAAGGATGGAAATTTAAGCAGCAGCTCTCAAACTATCACAAGAGACTCCTATTGTTTAGAAAACTTCTTAAAATGGGTGATCCCAAAGGCTGCTTTGTGCTGTCAAAGGAAATTAATCTGCCCAACCTTCCAGCTCTGGAGCAGAGGGGATGGAGCTCTTGGGCTTCCTGGACCTTCCTGGAAGGAGAATGCTGGGGATATTCAGGATAGTTCATAGGAGATGATGTTCAGAGG